GATTTTCTTCGATTAATGGATAGAAAACATGTTGATGAAATCCGAGAATCACAGGAGGCAAGTATATTATATATGTATACATATATTGTTAATAATTTTAATTGAATTAATAAGTTAGTATAATCAAGTATATGTATTCCTATGCTTATGCAATTGCATAAATTTATTTCTTTTTAGGTGACTACTTGTGTTACATTAGCAACTATTGATTGTATTGAGTCCACATATGGATGGTGGTACAAAGCATGCAAGAAGGATTTAAAAAAAATAAAGGAAGTGAGGGGAAGACGAAGACATGGTGTGACAAGTGCAATGCATATGTTGAAGATGTCAAAGTGAAATATAAATTGCAAATTAGAGTTGTTGACGAGACAGGAAATGCATCATTCGTTTTGTTTGATCGTGAGGTTACACAAATTCTAGGGAAATCAGCTGAATCTATACGAGAGCGCCAGACAAAGGTACTTTCATAGTTAATATATTTAACTAAATCTATATTTATTTCGTATACACCATGTGTTACTAACAAGAAATATTATCTTGCTCCCACTCATGATTGTGTAGAGAATATCAATGAACATTTGTTGTCTTTGGTTCCCGGAGAAGAGAGGATATATTTAAGTTCAGATAGTATTTGCAAAACAGATAGAAATATGCAAAATAATGAAGAATTATATTCATCTGATTACTTAAACAACATCAAATGTTTTGGCTTGCCGAATCACATCCTTAAGTTGAATATAAAATTGGTGTTCCTGCTATGCTACTTAGAAACATAGACCAACCCTTTAGTTTATGTAATGGAACTCGATTAATTATAACACAATTGGGCAACCATATCATTGAGGCAAAAATTATATCGGGAAGCAACATTGGGCATAAAGTTTTTATTCCTCGCATGATCTTAAGTCCATCTGACATAACATTGCCATTCAAATTTCAACGAAGGCAATATCCATTGGTGGTATGTTTTGCAATGACTATTAACAAAAGCCAAGGTCAGTCTCTTTCAAATGTAGGCTTATATCTTCCGAGACCAGTTTTTAGTCATGGCCAGCTTTATGTAGCAATATCAAGGGTTATAAGGAGAAGTGGTTTGAAAATTTTGATATGTGATAAAGAAGGTCAGATTTACAGTACTACAAGTAATGTGGTATTCAAAGAGTATTTCAAAGTTTGGCATAACAGGTACATTACTTCTCATAACTTACAACAAAATATTATTGTAATATGAACTCTCTCTTTTTCTTTTATATCCTTTTTATTTATTTATTTTAATTTTTTTTGTAGGGATATCGGCTATTAGGTACTCGGCCAACTACATGACACCCATTGATAGTGTGACTAATAAATTCAGGATCAATCAATTATCATGATATTTTTATTTTTGTATTTCATTTTATATTATTTTTGTATATTTATTGAGATTCATCTTATGGTATATCACATTAATATGTTTTTTTCTAAGTTTTTTTTTACTTCCCATTATTATGTTAAGTATGTAACTTTTCTAATAAACGAATGTTGCCACTACTGAATAACCGTGCATGGAACGGGTTTTGAACTAGTTATATACTAAAACAATCACCAAAGGGGACACTTGGCACAATTTTGTAAAAAAATTTCCCTCCAAAATGTTATTTATTTAATTTTTAATAATATTCTATTAATAACTTCTTTTAATAAATTTTATTTATATACGAAGTATATAACATGCAACACATAAGAATTTAAAAGATATACATAAATAAATTTAAATTTGAAAAAAAAAATTGTTAAACATTTAATTTCAATTAACTCTATTTCAATTGACTATTATTATTAGTAAATCTTTATAAATTCGTGCATTGCACGGGGTTAAAAACTAGTTATCTATGAATTGTATACCATACTTGTTTTCACTTCTTCAATTAGGAATTTTTAGAAGAAAAATTGAAAAAGTGGGTCCCACACGCCGGACTTTCTCGCCGGAAAATGCAAATGGGTAGTGCTACTTTAACTTTTTAAATTTAGAGGGTAGTTTTTTTTGATAAAATTTATTAGTGGGTAGTTGTTTCCAAATACCCCTATTAAGCATGTAGTTCCTAACAATTTTTCCTTTTTAATTTGTACATTTTAAAAATAAATCGCTATCATACATGAATATAAATAAGAATTACGTACATTTTGTAATTTTAAATTTTTTTTTATTTTCATCAAAATTATGATATAGTATCTTTTCAACATTGTCTAATTCATAGTTCAATGTAGGTGGTCATTTATTAGTGTGTTATTTAAAATTGTTTTACTTTTCTACGATAAGTTGATCATAAAGTTTCATTTATCTTCTCTCTTTTCTGTCTCCTCTTTCTCTCTCCTTTTTTAATTTCTTCTTTTCCAGTTAGCCACCCATATCACTCCCTTCACCAAGCTATCTGCTCTTCCTCTCTCCTCCTTTCTCCAAAAAAGGGCAGCATACTTGCAAAACAAACCACCTGCAATTACAAAGGAAGAACGCATGTCCTTCACAAATACGTCGTCGTACTCCGTGAGCTTCTCGTACTTCGTCGTCAGAAAACAACTTAAAGGTTATTAAGGCCAAATTCGGCCATATAAACTCTAGATCTAGAGTTTTCATGGTCGAATTTGGCTTTTTTAGCCATAATTGAAGTGAAATTCGAAACCATTCTTAATTTTAAAGGTATTTGTTCGATTTATTTATTTTTTTTCTTTTAACGATTTGGTTGTGGGTTCGGTTGGATCTATGTTTGTTTGTTTGTGGGTTTGGTGTATAATGGTGGTGGTGGCATGGCGTATTGGGGGTAGGGCTAGTGGCGTTTTGGGAGTGGTGGTAGGTCAAGGGTTATTAGGTCGGGGGTTACTAAATGGGTAAGTCGGGGGTTACTAGATAGGTTATTTAAGTGGGGTTACTTCGAAGGTTATTTAAGTGAGGTTACTTGAGGGGTTACCGGAGGGGTTACTTGGTTCGGTCAGGAGTCACTAGGTTCAGTCAGAGGTTACTTGGTCCGGTCAGGGGTTACTATGTTGATGGGGTTACTTTCTCATTTGCTGATTTGGCACCCTGCCGCATGGTGCAGCCAGCCGCACCAGAAACGCACTGTAACTTAATAGGTTTTAATTGTAATGTAAAACTTCTAATATTTAAATTTCAAAGATGTTAAATGTTAAATTTCAAAAATGTTAAATATCTGGTAATACAGAAAATCTTGCGTGGACTTAAGGTTTATACTTTATACACATGTAACTGGTATTATATTCAACATAGTGAGCCCTAATTTTAATATAGTTACCTTATTTTTAATATAGTAACCTTCTTTAAAACCTGTGTGATATTTAATGTTATTATTATATTATAAACTTAAAGTACGACATTATGTTGAATAGTGATCTAACATACTGATCTTTATTATTCATACTGACCATTATATTAAAAATTTCATTAAAAAAATTAACCTCTTTTAGCTTAATAACGTCACACTAACTTTTATTTCAACATAATAACCTTTATTTTAATATAGTGATTTTTTTATTAATAAAATAATCACATTGTCTCTAATTTTAGTAGTATACCAAATACTTAAAATAAACCAGGTCCATTTAAGAATTTGTAAGAGTCATATTATAAATTATCAAATTAAACAATCACTCACCATTTATTAATAATAGAATTAAACTTGTAAGTAAATCAACGGGTACACTTTTTGGTGCATTCATTGAAATGAACTGTTTTAGATGGTCAAAGACTCAAAGTCATAGCTTATTAGCTTATGGGAGATGATATGCAATATGTGGGATCAAATCTATTCTCAACTGCTATTTGTCGCTCCCAAATTATCAGGTAACGCTCCCTTTTTGACTTGAATGGACCACTATGCCCTTTATGCAATTTGGGTTATAAAAATGACCTTGTTCCCCATTTGGACACAATACATGAAACGGTCCCCTCACTTCACGACATTGCTGTCCCGAGCTTCCCAAAATCGGTCCCCACGACCACCTAAATTTTCTATTTTCAAAAATCGTTAAATTTTCCGACGGGTCTTGGGTCATGGACGGCGAGTGGAACATACGTACGCCGGAGAATGCGTCGAATCATTCTGTAAGTTTTTATTTTATTTTATTTTATTTTCGGTAATTAGGACATCCGCCTAAAATTTCCGGATGTCCTAGGTACATCCGCCTAAAATTTCCGGATGTACCATGGAACATACGGAAATTTCAAGCGGAAGATGAGATCCGCCTAAAAAATCCGGATGTTCCATGGTACATCCGGAAATTTCAGGCGGATGTACCTAGGGACATCCGGAAATTTTAGGCGGATATCCCTATTAATTTTTTTTTTAAATGTTAAGTACGTTTATTTAATTTTTTTTTATGTTTATTAAGTTTTTTTTATGTATTTTTTTTTTCGTGGTCTTGTGATTATTGTTGTGATTTAGTATTTGATAATTAATGTAATTTTGTTGTATTAATATGATTATTAGTAATATGTTTATTTTTTGTTTCATTATTATTATTATTATTTATATTATTATTATTATTATTGTTGTTGTTATTATTAGTAATATGTTGATATTATTGTTGTTGTTGTAGTTGATATTATTATTGTTGTTGTTGCTGTTATTTTTATTGTTGTTGTTGATATTGTTATTATTAATTAGTAGAAATATAATTTTAATATTAATATTAATATTATTATTATTATTATTATTGTTATTATTATTATTATTATTATTTATTTATTAATTAATGTTATGGTCTTATAAATTGTTTTGTAGTTGTTGTTATAATTTTTTATTATCATTAATATTGTTATTGTTTTGTATTTGTTGTTATTATTATTAGTATTGTTATTAGTATTGTTATTATTATTATTATTATTATTATTATTAGTATTGTTTTTATTATTTTTATTATTTTAATTATAATTATTATTATTATTTTTGTTTTTATTATTATTATTTTGACATAAAGCATGTTTTGTTTAATTTGTATAGGATATGGAATCTGAGGAAGGCGGTGACGGTGTGAATTATAGTGGGAATTTTGTCACCGATACGTTATTTCCTACATTTGACGATGTTGTTACATGGGCTGGTGGTGTTTTCATAAAATTGGGATTTATATTGGTGAAATCATCTTATAACAAAACCAGAGATGGTCGTCCGTATCGGTATTTGCGATGTGATCGGTCACGAAGGAGCAAGCCGAGAGATTTGGAGAACGTGATACGGAAGGACACCAAAACCAAAGCTAATGGTTGTCCATTCTACATCAAGATATATTATGATGTCAGCACCGAAAGTTGGAAGATCATTGCGAAAAATGATCACACCAGGACACATAACCACCCAATGATTGTGTACCCAGAGGGTCACCGTAAAGTGAGCGGATTGAGTCCGGGTGCAAAACAGGTTGTGCGGGACATGACAAAGTCCAAGGTTGCTCCCCGTAACATCATGTCCACTATTGCCGAGCAATTTCCTGATGATCATCCAAACACCCGACACATTTACAATTGCCGAAATGACTTCAGGATGGAAATGTCCGAAGGAAGAGGAGTTGTTCAACAATTTCTTCATCTGGCGAGAGAGAGTAAATACATTTACTGGTTCACGAACGATGATCACAACGTTTTGCAACATGCATTTATGGTGCACCCGATCATGGTCAACATACTCCGCACATACCCACATGTCATAGGTATGGATTCTACTTACAAGACCAATCGATATAACATGCCTTTCTTTGAGATAGTAGGCGTGACACCGACAAACCAAAATTTTCTAGTTGGATATGTTTTCATGCGCGACGAGTGCACGGCTAGCTATCGGTGGGTGTTGAGAAGATTAAGGGAGTTGATTGGGTTTGATAAAGTGCCATCTGTATTTATTTCAGACCGTGATCTTGGGCTATGTGCGGCTTTGAGAGAAGTCTTTCCAGGGACGTCACATTTACTGTGTCTATGGCACATCAACAGAGATGTGGAGGCTAAGGTGACGAAGATGCTTGGAAACAAGACGGTTGGTGTCAGTTTTAGAGCTGGGAGATGGTTCAAAATCGTGAATGCAACAACACAGGCGGAGTATGATCGTGCTCTAACTGTCATGCAAGTGAGGTGGGGAAAATATCCGGAAGTGATTCAGTATGTTCAGAGAACTTGACTTTGTCATAAGGAGAAATTTGTGAAATTTTGGACGAACCAGGTTCTTCATTTTGGTAACACCACCAACTGCAGAGTTGAAAGCCAACATTCAGCAGTGAAAACTTGGTTAGAATCATCCACAGGTTAGTTCCTGGGATCCGAAATTAAAAAAAAAAATACCTCGTCTCCACCATCGCCGCCGCCGCCGCCGCCACCAGCGCCGCCGAAGGTCCTCCCTCCGAATCTCAGCCTAATCCGCCTCGAATCACCCATTTTCTTTTGTGTTTATGATGATTGTTGTTTTTTTAAAAAATGAAGAACAATTTTTGAATTTTTTTTTTTAAAAAAAAATTGTTTTAGAGAGTAAGAGAGTTTGAGAGTAAGAGAGTTAGAGAGAGAAGTAAAGAAGTGAGAAATGTTGGTCGGGAAGGAAAAAACCGTATTTATATATTAGGGGTAAAATTGGAATTTTAAGAAAAAAAGGGAGCATTACCCGGTAAAATGGGAGCGACAAATAACAACATCCAATATTATAACATTTTGTAACTATTTCAGGAAAAAAAAAAAAAAAAATCATTTTGGGGACTAATATACTTCGTATCTAGCAAATTTTCTATTGAATTATGAATTACCCACCAAAAGATAAAATTAAGAAAGGCAAAGCAAAACTACTCCGTAGAAAGTAGGAATAAAGAAAGTTCCACGTAGTTTCCTCATGTTCGTAAATCTTCGTTACTAATGGGTCCATTGACACTGTACCTCGTGATTCTCATGGATTACTTCCTTGGCTTTGTTATATCCTTCATGTTTTTAATAAGTGTTAGGCATATAATTTTAGGTAATTTAATTAACTTAATTAAAATAATACTGTAGATAATTAGAGTATTAAAAATTATAAAAGAAAAATAGTAGAGTTAATAGCTTATTGAAATCAATGAATGTGAGAGAAAAAAAAAATATACTACGTATAATACTACTTTTGATTTTTATTATTTGCAACTCTGAGGTATTATTTGTTAAATATAAAATATACCAAAGTTGCAAATAATAAATCGGAGATAATAGAAAAAAAGTAGTAGTTAATTTATGTGGGGACCATAATGTAGATTTTTGCCAAACAAAAGTGAACTTAAGGCCTGTTCTCATTGACTAAATTGAGTTAAACTGAACTGCATTAAACTTATTAGAGCTGAACTGAACTGAACTTAAAGGAATATTTTATGAGAGAATGAAATTAGGAGCTGAACTAAACAGAACATAACTGAATTGAATGAAATATTTTATGAGAGAATTAAATTAGGAGTTGAACTTAACAGAACAAAACTGAATTGAATGGAATATTTTATGAGAGAATGAAATTAGGAGCTGAACTAAACAGAACATAACTGAATTGAATGGAATATTTTATGAGAGAAGGAAATTAGGTGCTGAACTGAAATAATCTGATGAGAACAAGGCCTTAACACTTAGGGTATGTTCACATTTACTGAATTGAGCTGGAGTGAACTAAGCTGAAATGAATATTTTATGAGAGAGGAAAATTAGGAGCTGATTTGAACTGATTGGAGCTGAACTGAATTGATATGAAATTAAGTAAACGTGAACAGACCCTTATTAAATTACAACCAAATTTGATAAGTGTAACACTAATTAAAACACATAAGAAGTACTAATATTTATTTTATTTTAAATATTTAACTTGAGAGATAAAACTATCAAAAATATCAATTTATAAAAATGTGTTTAAATACTGTAGTAAAAATAAAGGGAAATACTCCGATCTTTTCAAAAGAGTACATAGTATCACAGTTGGCAATTTGGCATCGATATTGATTAAATATATTTAAATTGAAGAGTAATAAATAAGATAGCTCACAAACATCTTTATTTTATTAAAATTATTAAAGAACTCACATGAACATTTGACTTATAAGTCTAATAGAATAATATACTATTACAATGAAGAAAGTGACATTATCGGTTGATCACTTAAAGTCGTACTAATATTAAGCTAATATTGGTCTAGTGGACAAGTTTGTGTTTCACAATTAAGAGGTTGTCAGATCAAACCTCACTAGATATACTTTTGGGGTGAGGATTCCTTTAACCCTCACCCTCCCAATTCCCAAAGTGTATAACCTATTATTCCAAATCAAGAGAACTTATAAGAGATTTCGATTCGATAGAGCCCTTTTCTTTACCAATAAAAAAAAAAAACTTATTTCGTATCGATATTAAGTACTTGGTCTAATCACTAATTAAGAGGGCCAACTAAAACCTCAAATGATTATTTTGTAACATTATACGAAGTACTAGACAGTAATCGTAAAATTTTGGGTTCTTTTATCATCACAACAATTGAACGAGTAGAAATAGATAATGTGTCAAAAAGACAAAATTAACAATGCTATAAAAAATTAAAAAGAGTACTCCGGTAATTTAAAAAAAATAAAAAAGGGAAATTTCGGATGTGGGACCCAGATAAAATAGCAGAGTTATTTCTGCTCTTTTTAAGACAGATGAAGAAAGACAAAAGGATATCATTTCTCTTCTTCCTTGTTTGATTCTTTCCCATTTTCCTGGATTTTTTACACAAGTTTGGAGAGCTTGTTGCAACCTGATAAGCTGAGAAAGGTATTATACCTTTTTTACCCTTTCAAATATTCTTGTTCATTTTTCTTTTGATTCTTGTTTTAAATTTTATTTGATCATGCTTAAGTAAATTATAGCTTGCAATTATTGATGATGATTATGAAGTTTAACTTTTATTACTCGATGTTTAACCTTTTTTTTTTTTTTTTTTTTTTATAGCTTTTTCACATAATAATTATTTGTTCCTTTTTATTGGGAGTGTGTAAATATGCAGAAATACAGAAAGCTTGCATCTTTCAATATTATTACAAGTTTTTTGTTTTTTGGGGTGATTGGTTTATTTAGTTAATGGTTTTTATGTATAGCACTGTTTATGTGAGATTAATCAATATTGAATATTATTAACTTAAATTTTATAGGGTTGAAGTTCATTTGAATTATGATAATTTCTCTGAATTTTCCTTTTTTATTTGATCTAGGTAAATGATGAAATGGTGTAGTATTATTGTTGTAATTCTTGTGAATAGGTAAATGGTGGGAAATTGTTTAATTTCATTGCAAAATTCATACAGTTTGGGATTTCTATTAGAAAGATTTTTTTTTTAGGTTTTGGATTAAACATTCAAGATTTAACCTCAAAGGGCATGTAAGAATTAAACACTGAAACTCTGAGTTATATGGAGTTGGAACTTTGAACATATTACTGTGAATGGTCAAATTCCATGACCTCTTCCTCTTTTTGTTAGTTGGACTTGTTGACCATAGTGTGTAACTTGCTCGATTGCGAGAGGGTTGCATAGCCACGTGGTGTAGCCAGGGAGGTGATCAGGAAAGGTTTTGTATAGGGGGAGAGGCAAAAGGTTGTAATGATTCTGTTGAATTCTGAAGGTTTTAGTGAGTATGATGAATTAACTGTATTGATTTCTTGAATCTTGATGGTTTGGGGTTTTACTTGTTTCATTGGTGGGCTGATGAATATGAGGTTTCGAAAAATTGCTGCTAATGCCAATTTCCACTTCTGTGTGTTTCTTTCTGTCATCTAATTTTCTGTTTAAGTTGATTAACATAAGAATCAAAGCCCTAACATTTGATTGTCCAAAGCATATACTCCGTATTATACATTTGTCTGTCGTGCTCATAGCCTCGTACACATTCAGAAATTTGCCATGGTTTGTTCTAATCTGAATGCTAAAACTTTTTTTTTCCCGGGTTTCTAGGAGTTTACTCCAACAATGGGTCTCAAGAAGCTACTAGTAGCTCTCTGTTGTTTGGCTTTGATAAGCCCTTTTCTTTTTCCATCCACTGAAGCCTTGATGAGAATGGCTTTAAAGAGGCGTGCTCTTGACTGTGATACTTTAAATGCAATGAGAATTGGAAGGAAGTTGGAATTGGATCGAGAAGCTAGGAATCCACTTCAATCTCGTTATGGCAGTCCAGATCCAGACGTTGTATATTTGAAGGATTACTTGGGTGCTCAATACTACGGAGAGATTAGTATTGGTACACCTCCACAAAAATTTTCTGTGATATTTGATACAGGAAGTTCTAATCTTTGGGTTCCATCATCGAAGTGCTTGTTCTCTGTAAGTATTGAAGACTAGTTATACTACTGCAAGTCTACTACTACTAATATTACTTTTCTGAACTAAGACTTATCACTATAATCATGCAGATTCCTTGCTATTTCCATTCCAAGTACAGTGCTAGGAAGTCAAAGACATACACTGCCATTGGTATTGCTGATGTTTCATAGTGTCCAAGTTTGTCCCATTCAGTACATAGATCATTTGTCTGACAGATATTTTATTATAGGTAAATCTTGCCATATTAAGTATGGTTCGGGTTCTATCTCTGGTTTCTTCAGTCAGGATGATGTACAAGTTGGAGACCAACTTGTTAAGGATCAGATTTTCATAGAGGCAACTAGAGAAGGAAGTATCTCCTTTCTACTTGCAAAATTTGATGGCATTTTTGGACTCGGGTTTCAAGAAATTTCAGTTGGAAATGCTACTCCTGTATGGTAAGCTGTAAGCCAACCTCTATTAAACTACAGACTAATGTCTGTGGCACTAAGCTCCCATGTCTTAAATTGGAATAGCCAAAAATTGCGTTTCTTTCTCGTTCTTCTGGTGAGTTACTGGATGTCTTGATTACAAAATTCGATGTAGGTATAATATGGTGGAACAAGAACTTGTAAAAGACCCAGTTTTCTCATTCTGGCTCAATAGAGACACAACAGCAGAAGTTGGCGGGGAATTAGTCTTTGGAGGAGTTGATGAGAAACATTACAAGGGAAAGCATACTTATGTGACATTAACTGAGAAAGGTTACTGGCAGGTAAGAGAGAAAAATAACTGAGATTCATTACATATTTCTTTTAATGATGATTTATGCCATGTATACTTGACTGTTTTTAATACGTGCACTTCCATTTCATCATTTCAGTTTGATATGGGAGATTTCTTGATTGGAAACTACTCAACAGGTAAGTTCAAATGATGCTATGATCCATATGGTACAATTAGTTTTTTACATGTCTAGTGGGTTAAAAGGAAATTTTAGGAGAAAGAGTTCTATCTACTATTATCGTTCTTGAATGTTAAAATATTTTAGCATCGTGGTAAACTCTATGGTTGATTTCTTCAGGTTTCTGTGATGGGGGCTGTGCTGCTATTGTAGACTCAGGAACATCACTACTTGCAGGACCAACGGTAATCTCCTTCAGAAACTTTTGTTGCTGCTATTTTTTTGTTGAATCAGTTTCCCTCATGAGTCTATTTATTTCAGCATGTCGTTACTGAAATCAACCATGCCATTGGGGCTGAAGGTGTTATAAGCAACGAATGCAAAGACATTGTTGCTCAGTATGGAGATATGATTTGGGATCTTTTGGTTGCAGGGGTTTGTTCACCGTTTCCCTTCTATTTAACTTGGTTTGGAGAATTTCTTATAACCTGAAAACATTCCTAATTGTAGCATTGGTTGTGCAGGTAGATCCAAATAAAGTATGCTCTCAGCTTAACCTGTGCACCGTGCAAAACAGGTTAGGATATCCCAACCAACATACTCACGACTTTTACTCACTACTTATTATCAGCATCAAACTTAAGTTAGGATGCACAAGACCTGGGATTGATTATTATTTACATCACTGCTGTTTGTGACTCCCTGAGCACTATTGACCTCACGATAAAAAGTAATCTTAGAAAGATTGACGACAAGTTTGGAACTGTTTTACCCTTTTACTGTTTCTTTTTTTCTGATCTGCCAAAACCATGAGAATCCACTTAATGGGCATCCCTTTAGATGACAGAAACTATTGGTATCATTTGTCTTTGCAAACTTTCCAGTCACAAACTCACAATATCAGATTCGTATGATTAAGCCTTTTAAGTAGAAGAATTTAGAAAGATAAATTCCTTCAGTTAGGACAGTTAACTCTTTAAATTAATGAGTCCTCATCATATTGAACCATTTTTATTTTCAGTGCTGGTATTGAATCAGTTGTAGAAAGAGAGAACGAGAAGGATGTCTCAAGTTTAAATCCCTTATTCTGCACTGCATGTCAGATGACTGTGGTTTGGATTCGGAACCAATTGAGAGAAGAAGTGACCAAGGAGTCTGTACTCAACTATGTGAACAAGGTAATGTGTTCCTGACAAACAGTTTGCTGAAGTATTAATCTGCCTCACTATCCATTATTACCTTTTTACAAGACTTGACTCTGAACAAGATATTTACTTGTGCAGCTTTGCAATAGCCTGCCAAGTCCAAACCAAGAATCAGTTATCGACTGCGACAGCATCCCTCTCTTGCCAAATGTGACGTTCACAATTGCTAATAAAGCTTTCAACCTAACCCCTGAACAGGTTTGGTTTCGTTTGTACTTTTATCTTTTAATTTTCTTAAAAATTTAACACATAAACCCAACTAATGGTGAACTATCAACTTTGTTGACAAAATTAATGGCACCTTTAATGTGGGACAACTTGTATATATATATGGGGCTCAGCAACAATTGTCTAAAATTTCCCAACCACAAACAATGGCAATTTTGTCTTGTTAATCAGTATTTAATTGTACTAGATACAGCATTTCATACTGGAGTGGTGAGAGCTTGTTATGAAAATTTAGCATTGATTGCTAGGAGAATGATAAATAAGGTCTTGTTTCGTGTAAATTGGCCTAAAGATGTTGAATGGTTGATGTATTTCTCTGATTTTATTAAGAAACACTGACATATGAAGTCTAAACTCATCACTGACAGTCTGACACCCATATTCTGAACTCGCAGTACATCATGAAAACCGGAGAAGGTTTTGCAACTGTCTGTCTTAGCGGATTCATGGCATTTGATGTGGCTCCTCCTAGGGGTCCTCTGTGGTACGCTTTGCTTAGATCATCACACAACTATGCATGGACTTCCCATTGCTTCTTTCTTACAATGATCTGCTTATTCTTTTGCAGGATCCTTGGAGATATTTTCATGGGAGCTTATCACACTGTCTTTGACTACGGTAATCTTCAGTTAGGTTTCGCTGAAGCTGCTTGATTGGCTTACCGAATCCCTGCTTGTCCCATGTTATTATAGCTGTGTAATAGTTCTAGTGGTTGTTTAGATGTTGTAAACTGAGGATGGGAGAATACAGCACTTCTAGTGATTATGTGCTGCTAGTGTTCTGCACCCTTTTATGTAACATAAATCAATGCAGTTTGATGTAAATTTAGCTGCTGACACCAATAAATGGCACCTGTTATCATAAGTCGCTGCTCATTTTTTCTGAGCCAAAAAAGGTTATATGTTGGTTTCACCCGAGCAGGAGCGCTGAAGCGTGCCCCTATCGCCTTAATGTGTTCTTCGCCTACACATTTCTGAAGGCAAGATTCTAAAGTATAAACTGATCCTTGTATAATGTTCTAAACATTCAAATATTGTTTTAGCTATTTTATTAGATATAAAGATTAAGTTGTGCATACTATGCGTAAATATAGAATGGTGTGGAGCAATGGTTATATACTTAAGTATTTACACTTTTAGCTAATTAACCGAAAGATTGAAGACTCAAATTTTGGCCAAAAGCCTAAAGAATTTGAAGTTTGAGTTCGTCAAGTTAATAATACCTCAATTACAAATACCTACATCATTTCAAAATTTTACCTCATTCCTAATTTAATTTCTTACACTAATACAACAATACTTACTGACCACATTTATTACTATGTATTAATTTTTTTTATTATTATTTTAGTTGATATTGAGTTTAATTACCTTTATAGGAATGTCAAAAATAATACAAACTTTGATCAATCCGTCAAAAACAAGTCAAACTTTTAATTATTTTTGAATAATACAAACTTTGAGGGTTATCCGCTTTAAACAACTTAAAACCGATTAGTTACCTCGTGGATAGGTGATATGGAACACGTGACATCGTATTATTTTTTTACAACAATTAAACAACTTTATAAGATAAATACAAAAAATAATCGGTTAAATAAAAGCATAACTTAAGGTATTAATAGTCAATATAATCTCAATTTGACAACATGCTTAATTAAACTGTCACAAGCAATAAAAAAAAACCAAGTATAAATGTGCTTGTTAAAATACTTGTTGAAATACTAAATAAATGGTACTATTGGTTACATTTTTTTTTTTTTTTTTTTATTTTCTAAATGCTCATTAGTCAAGACTAATGTCTATATATTTCTTACATGTTTTTCTTGTTTCAAATGAGGGAAGGGCAATACAAATTATCAATGGGATAGAAGATTTGAACATTCGACTTATCATACACATGTCCATTATATTTTATTGCATAATAAGATAATAAGGTAAATGATATCATCATATTAAGCCACTTGCTACAATAAGGTACAAAGGCCAACCATATAACCTATAATATCATCCAAAGAAATGGTATTATCAATATATTGCATTATCAATTAGTAATTTAGTATTTTCATTGGATGAACATAGATGAGTTTTGATATTGTATTAAAGCCTTTGACAACCACAAATTATAAATTATTAAAAGTTATTTGAATCAATTAGCATTTTGTTTTTTTTTTGTCTAAAAAAATAAAAAAAAATTACCATTTTGTTTTATGTAATGTCCTTAAAAGTTCTTAAAAATGTTAAATGGGAAGGCATAACCTAGATTTGTGCAGATGAATAATTTTAAATATATTGACAATATTATATTATCTATGTAACTTTTTAAAGGAAAGATCCTTTTTTGGTTGGGAATTTTCCTCTTCATTAATATACAAATTTAATTTTATTTTTTTTAGAAAACTGTTTTCTCTTATTAAACTAAACAAATAAAGTTTGACAGTTATTGGATTGTACATGAATAATTTAATTGATAAAATCAATTAAAAAAAAAAACAAATACATGTTCATGAGTTCATCCACAATTATTGAATTATACAAGGATATTGGTTGGAAAAATTAAATTATATAAGGATAATTTAATTAGTGAATTTATCTATAAAAAAAAAAACAAAGGGATAAAAAAATCAAATATCATTCACGTTAGACATATAGTTACATTCAATACCACTTTTTTCCTAATGTTCTTAAATTGCTTTGTTACATTAGTAATAGCTTGCATTGCCTTTTGTTTGCTGATTTTCTTATCAATCCAGTTGCTATAGTTTTTTAAACGAACAAACAACTAAGAAAATTAATAAAGTATGATATACATTAAATATATGGAAGTTCAATATATATTTTTTTTCATAAGCACATAGCTATTATCTTGTAAATTTCATTAGAAATCTTTTGGGGTTATTTTACATTTTTACTATTGTAAATAAACTGTGAGTTGCTCCCACCTTTTGTATCATGCATGTAATTTATGTTACATACTTTCAAAACCTATATTATTCAAACCTTTGTGCAAATTAAAGACTTAGGGTCGTTTGGTTCACCCGAGGTAAACGGAATGGAATGAACAAAGGGAATGGAAGATAATGGAATGTAAATACCTAATATTCTCCATGTTCTTTGTTTTAAAAACAAAGATAAACAATCCCATTAGCCCACCACCACACAACCACCTAATACCACCAGCCACACCTTCGTCGCCCTTCACCGGCCCCCGCGCAGCTCTCCCTTCCCCGAAAATCAGCCCCGAAAACCCTAGAAACACCCCTCCCCCGAAAAAATCCTTCACTCCCCGAAAAAACCCGATGTCCGACCCTCCCCCACCCTCGAAACCCTAGGCGCTAGGGTTTAGAGGGTGGGGAGGGCTGGCCAGCCGTTTTACTTTGTAGAGAAGGTTTTTTATGGTTTTTACGAGGATGGGAGGCGCGGCGAGGGGTGGCTGGTCGTGGTGTGGTGGTGCGGGTTTCCGATAATTTGGGTAGGTAGAAGGGTGGTGGTATGGTGGTGCAGTGGTGGCCAAGAAATGAGAATGGAAAAGTCTAGGGAGGGTGGAGAATGAATTTAGAGGGATTTTGGGGAATGAAGAGGGTAAAGGAAATGGGAAATATGGTCTAACAAAAAACAACAAAGGGAATGGGGGTACTTGATTCCCATTCTCTTTGATGATTATCCCCAACCAAACATCCCTTTAAATTAATTCTTTAATTATTACATATCATATTGCTATAAATGACAATTTGGGACATAGGGAGGGGTAGCGAATTTCAATGTCATAGTGTAATATAGTACTCCATATAACGTGATAATAATTTTTTTTTTATGATCAATTAGTACTTTTTACTAAATATCTTTATTTTACAGTTATAAATTTTAAAGAGTAAAATTTACCACGCGTGCACGCATTGCGTGCGCCTCTAAACTTGTATTGATTAATAAAAACTACATAGCTAGTACAAAGAGATAGCTTGTACATACTTACCTAATAAGTTATGTTAAAGAACAAACTTTTCTATCAATCTTCTATCTATCTATTAACCTATACTAAAAGCAAATCCATCTATAACACTTGTCATTACCTTGTGAAAAACTTTCCCGCCTTTTTCACTTACCTCTTTTTTATTTCTTTTTTTTATCCTATCATATAAATAATATATAAAACTAAACTTTTAGCCAGCTCACGAAATAGTGACACTTAGCATTCTAACTTTTTTAAGTGTCGCGCCATTTTGAATAGATTTAAATAGACTTCATAAGATAAAAATCGCCAAAATGTCGCGCCACTTGGATAGATTTAGATAGACTTCATAAGATTAAAAAAAAAAAAAGTTAGTTAAAAATTTCATTTTCAATCAAATTAGGATAGAATTTTAGAATAAGATTGTTAGTTTAGAGTTTTATTTTCGATAAAATACCAAATAATAAACTTAAGGCCGCAAGACAATGTCATTTAGCGTTTTAACTTTTCACCAAGTGTCGTATTACGTTGGATTAATATAGATAGACTTTGTAGCAAAAAAATTAATATAGAATTCTATTTTCAATCAAATTGAATTATAATATAATTTTATCTTAAAAGTCTATAAACAACCCGGGCATCGCACGGGGCACAAAACTAGTCTAATAAAAAAAGTTAAAAAAGAAGATAATACTTAGTAAAATATATTGCATAATTAATCACATCAATAGGTCGAATTCTGCATGACGACATAGCTGGGGTGGCCTTGCCACGTTTAATTCCTGTTTAATCTTTTTAGTTTGTTTTTTCATTTATGAGGTCCCTGACCTCTCTTTATGCATATCTGACTACTTGAGCTATCCCTTACTCTCAATTATTTATTATGATTATATTCTTAAGATATATTTTTATTTTAGTTCAAAGTGATAATATCTTGGAAGATGACACTTTCATACCCTCGGAAATCCTCTCCAAATTCCACCTATTTAATCAATAGTTTGCGCCTTTGCGGTTGCAAATATATTATCATAAATAATCTCTAATTCCCTAACAAAAAAAAAAGAACACTAGCCTCCGCAAAGCTTAATTAATGAACCCATCTATGGCAACCTCACTAACAAATACTCCCTCCGTTTCATAATGTTAGTTTCATATATTATTTTGGGCGTTTCAAAAAGTTCTACCCATATTGAATATATTTTATTTATGACTTGATTTTTTTTTGGAATTAATTGATTGTGGATTGATGACATGACTCTAAATAGGGAAATTTTTACCTTAAATTATGCAATTATGACTTGTGCTTTCCTAATAAAAAATAAAAAAATGTTAAATAAGGTAAACTAATTATGAAATCTGTTGTACATTAATGTTAGATTCCAAACATATTTGTTTTCTTATTTTATGTAATTGATTCCATATGGGACTAACATTATGAAACGGAATGAGTACATAATATGAAATTAGATGATTTAATTTTGTTAATACTGAAATTTATTTATGGTGATGTTTGATTAATCTAATTAAATCTAATAGATTTGATTTTGTATTTAATTTCCACTTTTAACATATTGAAAATTCATGACTTGTTTGGAATATTTCCTGTATATAGTAATTGTAATTTTACTATTTTCAAATGTGTTTTTATTTTAATCTACTACCTCCGGTCCAAATTACTCGCAACTTTGGGGTATTATTTGTGAGATATAATATATTTCAAAGTTGCGAGTAATTTGGACCGGAGGTAGTATTATATTAGTGTGTTAAATAGAAGGCAAAAGGAATTGTGCACCTCTTCACTTGTTATGTTAAACCAAATAAGACCAAAGGTAATTCAAAATTATCCAAGTTCAAACTGATCTAACTGTGGCGCACCAACGTGTTTGTGTTTGGGCACCTTGTGGTCCGAGTGATCGAGTGTCCTAAGTCCTAAGTCCCAACCCAACACCGGCCAACAGTCCTCAAAGATTAGACTCACCAGAGTACCACAGTCCACAAGAAATTAAACCCCAAAAAAAGAAGAAAGAAAGCAGAAGAGAAGAAAGAGAAAAGTCCATTGACAATACAAGTTAGATCTCGCGAAGTTGCAGAGTGCTAAAACCTGCACATACTACCCTTTTCCCTTCT